AGATATGTATGGAAAAAGGAAGCGCAAGTAAAATTATACGTCACTTACACTGATGCTCACGACTTTCATGAGCTCGGAGTAAATTGTAGGTACTGAATGTTGCAGAGCATATTATACACTTGTAAGGGTCCATTACGGCCGATCAAAGGTGCGATGTACAAGATCTCACAACAGCACTTGCACTGCGAGTGGTGAGAGAGTGAAGGAATCAACTGGACCTGTTCTTAGCCTCACGTGTGATTAAAACACAAATCAGCACTGGACGTATACTTGACCAACTGGACGCAAAGATCTGCATTCAGTAGGGAATAATTTAAGCTGGCTTCAAGTTTGATTCCAGGAAATGTGCTATTTTATGTGTTTGTCCTTGTGTGGTTGCTCGAACGAGTGTATATCCAAACAAGTATGTGCACAAACTGGTGTGCTTATTACTTCGCCACTCCCCCATTCCCCAGTACATGCAAAAAATTGTGAAACTGGGTAAAAAACGTAGGAAGTAATGCATAAGGTGGTCTCAGCAAAGAAGAGTGTAGGAATTAAAAAGACTACACAGATTCGTACAGGTGATTTAATAAGGTGTGAAGAAATGGGATATACTCACCATAGCCAACAAAAGCCCTACTGGGAGAGCCAAAGGATGAAGGTATAGGCGAACACAAACATGTAAGCAAAGTATATGTTTTACCATGCATGTAAGCCTGCTTTATGTCGGTGTTAAATTTTATTCCGAAAAATAAAAGCTTGCAAATAGCTTTTTGCTACCTAATTTCTAAAAATAACACGTGCAATGCAAGTCGTCTCATAATGTCATTCCAATCTCATGAACTATGATTTCTGAGGAAATAAATTCATTACCTGCTGGTGTTAACTCGCCCTCACTGACACAATAAACTTACTAACCTCACGATCTGCTCTATCAAAGTATGTCAGTTTAATCAATTGTACAAACTACGCCAGAATGGTTTTTTTAATGTAGAGGCAGCACTACCTCAATGGTGTATTTTTCAGCCGCGTAGTCATCAGTCAATAGAATTTCCGCTCAAGCAAAAATAAACTCCAGAAAAGTATATATATACTAGGAAATTTGATTTCAGGGTTAAATTTAAATATTTTGGCCAATATTTTACAAATTCTAGTACTCACTACCTCTATTTGACTCGTAAACCAATCCACATATCCATTCAATTTTTCTTCCACCTCACAGTCTGTTTGCTTCTTCTTCCATTGACCAGTTATTATTTGAGCTAATAAGTGTGCAGACATTGTTGAGATTTTCATGCATTCATCAAGAGTAATTAAGGCCGGGAAAATCGTATTGAAATAATGTCAATATTTGACTTGAAACAATCGGATATCCCACCATGTTCTTCTAATAAGTGCAAATCTGTTCTGAAATGTTCAGATTTTTCAATGGTGCAAGCAGTAGCGTGCAGGATTTGCGTCAAATTCATGATTAAAGTCACAATGAGTTGCATGAGATTGACATGATTAAGTTAGAATAGCAGCGCATATTTGCAAAATAAACTGGGACGCTTGGTATTAGTAAAGCGTTGAGTAGGATACTGTCCATCGAATAGAGTCCATAGGTAGGTAAGTGGATAAAGCGGTAGGTCGTATGATCGTTCTTCAGAGGAATATTTCTATGAACAGTCTTGTATGCATGTGGAAAAATTGACCAACACAGCCGGGATTCAGAGTCTGCCTAAGTTTGGGTGCTAGTCAGGGTGCAAGCATGAGTCTGAGTCCGAATTTCGAGTTCAAGTCGGTGAAATCAGTTGTGCGTAATTAAAGTTACTGATTTATCGTGGACGACATCCTTGGAGTGGTCGTCACCTTACTTGCAGTTTTTAATTCCTGTTAGATGTCATTTTAATTAGGAAGGGAAAAATAAGAACGCAGCTCTTACCTCCTAAGTTTGTTTGGCAATTAGCGACTAGAATTTCTATTAATTTATGCAGAAAACTTTTTTGGGGTAGCGAACATCCGAAGTACTCTCTTAGTAGATGGTGGATTCAGAACGATGCTGATAGTGTGAGGATAGAGGGTGTCACAACAGTTTCCTAAAATAATTGGCTTTGGATTTCGGTAAGGATAATGTACAAATGCATTGTGGAATGAACTTTAATGGGTTTGCCATTTTTACTGAAGGTGAAATTACATGCTTAATAACTGATCGGGATTCGTTCGTCGGATAGCAAAATTTTCATTGTTGACACTTGCAAAGTGTGGCCTGGATCTTTCGCAATATACAGGAGAAAAGGGTGTGGT